AGGGACATTCCATACCATGGGACGTCATGCTCAGTACATAAACTGGGGAAAGCTGGACGGGGGGGCCGCTGCTCAGGGACTGGCTGGGCATTGGTCGGCGGGTGGTAAGCAATTGCGTTGTGCATCACTTGCTTTGTATATTCTTTTATCATTATTATTATTATTTTCCCTTTCTTTTCTGTCCTATTAAACTGTCTTTATCTCAACCCACAAATTTTACTTTTTTTTCCCCCGATTCTCTCCCCCATCCCACTGGTGTGTGTGGGGAGTGAGCGAACGGCTGTGTGGTGTTTAGCTGCCTGCCGGGTTAAACCAACACCCCAATATACCTCAGGTATCTATTAAAAAAAACCAAGACAAAACAACAAAACATCCATACCCCCCAAACCAAAACCACCACAAGCCAGAAGAAAAACAAAAAACCACTCACACACAAACCACAATTTGGAGCAAGACTTTACAAGCCCTAGGTTAATTTTAACAGCACCTAAAAATATTTAAGCTTATTTTAAATCTATTCTGGGAGCAACAGATAAAAATACAGAATATGAAAAATGCAAGAAGCTTTTTGCAATCAATACACTGAATGAAAAATCCCACAGCTGTACAGGCCCATCACTGCACTTCGTTATTTTCATTTTTTCTACTGAATTTTAGGATTACAGTGGAAATTAAAACCAAGGGCAATTAGAACCATCATAAGACATTTCAATAGGTAACCATTAGGCAATTTTAGGACAGTTTCCATTTACAAAAAAACCCCAAAATCAATAGAAAATATTTTTCCTAAACAAAATCAAAACAGTTAATTTCAACTGCAGATAAAATGTTGAAAATACCTTTTGAATTCTTTCCAAGTTTTGGAGTTTTTTTTTTTAATATTTTAAATCTTCTTAGAAGTAGTTACTAGCCTCCCAGCGGGTATTGGTAATTTAAAGTGATTTCCTGCAGATCTGCATGCAGAAGCACACAGGCTATAACACTATAAACACAGAAAATGGCCTAACTGTATAAAGAGACTTACCCTAAAGAAATAATTAAGGGAAAAGACATTCAGGTATCCTTTGTTCTCTATATCAAGCAGTTTGAAAATATATTGCAGAGCTGCGGGCTCCTTTCTGTTTTCTAATGCAAGCACAAAGTCCAGGTAGGTTTTATAGTCCTAAAAGTAGATACAATCATGTTTATTACAGTCTTCTTTCTAAATTGATTTTGCAAGCAGGAACTTTATAATTGGCAGCTATTTCATTGTAGGGGATCAGTCTATTTCTGAAAAAGACAACGTGAAATAGAAAATGGCTGCTACCACCAACGTGAACAGAAAAGTTAGTTTTTAATGGCTGCTGACGATACGAAAACCTGCCATTTTAGAGGTAAAATAGGATTCCGAGCATAAATCCAAATTAAACATGCTATATATACACTTTCAAACAATGTTTAACACATCTTTAGACTGCTGAACATACCCAACTAGCGATGAAAAGCCATATAGAAGGTTTTCATTACCACAAATTAAACATCCAGTGGCAGTAAGCCTACCGTTACCAAACGGTGAACTATATGTCCAATTAAAGTATATAATCCTTAGACCAGAGTAGGTAGTTTGGCAAATCACGTGGTAGAAGCATTAGTAGACATCAGAAATATGTATCACACTTTTCTTTTTCATTAGTACTGATTCTTGGTTTCCTGATCAAGGTATAGTTGTGACAAGGACAGAAATCCTTCAGTCCTATGTATATAATAACCCTGTCTACCTTAAACACCAGAGAGTCATGCTGCCATTCAGAGGGAGCTGGACAGGCTGGGAAAATGGGCTGACAGGAGCCACACCAAGTTCAACAGAGGGAATGCAAAATCCTGCATTTGGGGAGGAATAACCCCATGCACCAGTACATGTTGGGGGCTGACTAGTCAGAAAGCAGCTTTGCACAGATGGACCTGGGAGTCTCAATGGGCAACAAAATTGAACATGTGCCAGCAACATGCCCTTGCAGCAAAGGCTGCTGACAGCATCCTGAGCTGCATTAGGAAGAGCTTTGCTGGCGAGCCAAGGAAGGTGACCCTTCTCCTCTACTCAGATCACATCTGAGCGCTGGGTCCTGTCCTGGTCTCCCCTGTACAAGAGAGACGGACCTACTGTAGCAACTCCAGCAAAGGGCAACTAAGAAGATCGCTCACGACCTCAGCGATTCTGTGATTCTACAAAAAACTGCTAAGGCAGCCACAGGAGTGTATAGTGAATTTGTAATTTATTAGAGTTCAGTCATCTCAATGCAGACAACAAGAGTAGCAATACATGAAGTAAAGCTTTCAAAATAAATATAGATATAAGTTTTTATTTTAACTAATTTAGTTAGACTTCCCATTTTTCACAGCTATGGAAAGCTTACAACAAACAACACTGTTGTCTTCATGAAGCAGTGGACAGGTTAGCTAACCACTGGTTGCAAGTGTGCCACTTGTCTTTGGTCCTCTTTAAAGAATTACGTGTAACTAAAAAGCATTGCTACATCTATACATTTTTTCAACATGCACTTTATGTTATTGAATCTACAAGAAGCTTCATCCTAGGCTGTCTGGATTTTGTATCACCTCTGCTTTTCAAAACAAGCAACTTGTCTTTAAGCCACACTGCGATCACCTTGCTTTAAAGAAAATTAATTTTCTAATCTGCTGCATGGTCATTTGTGTGCACGATGATAAACAAAAGTTACTTTACCTCAAGCTACTCTTTATTTTAAAGATACTGATTATGAGGCATTTCCCATCTCAATGAGCCAAAGGTTTTATATTGTGAACAAAGTGAAAATATGTGATTACCATTTCACCATCATACGTTAAGCATTCCTGAAAGACACGATCCAAAAATATGTTGGTCAGAGTCCCTGTTCCATACCGGGACAGTTCTTCTTTGCTGAGCATGCCGTTGTGATCTTTATCAAGGTTTAAGTACTGCCCTAGGGAGGAGATATAGAGGGCAAAACACAGTTTACCTATATCAGCAAAGAACTGTTTCAACAGAGAAAGAAAATTTAGCACTTTAACGTTTATTTAATTTTCATCATAAAGTTAAGGCAGTTAAGTGGGAGTATGCTAGATCCACAATAATATTCATAGAGCATCATAAATTAGCACCGAACATGGGGGAAGGGGAAGTGGGATTCCCATAACGAGGTGTTAATAGTTCTATTCTAAGGTAATGGCTCAAAAGTAAAGGCTGTGTATACAGAGAAAGGAGCAGAAGGCTAAGAGCATGTTATTTTAAACAGATCTGCTGTAAGCATGAAAAAAGAGCTAAAGGTGATGCAAAAGCATGAATAGAACAGTCAAAAGAGATGGTTACAGAGGAATCTTGCACCTTGTGCAACAAGCACAAAATGACAGAGGATAAAACCGTGGTAAAGAACAACAGTGGAGAACCGAAAAGTGTAAAGAAAGTCAGGAAGACATACTGAAAAGGTGGCTACACGAGTTGAAAAGACAAGTTATCAGCAGGATTTAAAGAGACAAAAACAGAGGAAACAGAGGAAAAATAACACTAAGAATACGACTAAGTCATACAAGAGGAGAGGGAAAAAAAAAACGTGTTCACATATAAAGGAACCTACCATAAACTCTTAATGCAGAAGGAGCAGAAAACCAATTTGTTTCCTGACTTTCTTTAGAAAGTTCTTCATCCCTTAACTAAGTGAAACATAAAGTTAGAATTCAGAAAGAGTAAATTAAAATACAATAGTATATCCTAAGAGATCTTTACCTCCAGTAAGTCATCCAGGAAGCTGCAAGCTAAAATATCCTGTATCTTTATCTTCCCTGCAGCAAGAAAAGGAAAACACATTTTAACAGTCGCCCAATCAACACATCCGTTTGACTGTTCTCATTTAGGTAGTTCTACTTAAGAAAGAAGTATTCTGAGCAGGAAAAAAATGCCTTTTTAAAAAAACAAAACCAAACAAAACCAACTTCTAACATTAAGGATAAGACTGTAATTTAAGAGATAAAAATAGCTTTTAAAACGACTGAATAAAACTAGCCAGATATTGGCAGAAGAGGAGTTATTCTGAAGCCTTAAAAGCCAGAAAACTAGATAAAAAAATGCGAGTGTTCAACATCAACTCAAAATGTAAAGTAAAAAATGCAAAGAAAGCATGCTTAAAACATTTGTTGGAGTGATAGAGTCTCTTAAGTGATGTGGTATTTTAACATCTTCAGAAACTACAGAAGTGACACAAAGCTAAGGTGGCAGAATGCACTCCTGCTGGTGTAGCTTTGGTGTGCAGACACTGCGCAAACACCTGTGCAAAATAATAGCATTATAACTTCACACACACCCTCTCTATTGTTTGTAATTACCTCTGCCAGAGGCTACTGCCCACACAACTCTGACGTCTTCAAGTGGCACAGCTAGATCTTGAAAACACATGCAGTTTGAGACTTAAATGAAGGGCATACAAAAAGGCAAAGTGTTGTCCGAGGGAGCTACGTCTGTAATAAGGATTAGCAGCCGTAACTGCAAACCTTTTCTAATGAGTTTACATGGTGCACGCAAATCTAATCACAGGAGAAGCACATCACAATAAGCATTCTTGAGCATTTCCACAGCTCTGTGGATGTTCTGCCAAACAGTTCTGTTAGTTGCTGTGTTTTCTATTCACCCTAAACACTTATAAAATTAGCTGCTGCTAATGATGCATTATGATGAAACAATATCTTATTTGTCAGTTTCTATGAGATAACTGTATAGTACCACAGCTGATGGGTATCTCATAGAAATTCATTAGCTGTAGAAGTAGATTATTAGACCCACGTAAAGACTTACGGTCTTCAGTGGAGATTAATCTTCAAATACAAGATTGCTGAACAAAAACCTACAAAGACAACCTCATATTACTTTGAAAACACAAGTAGCTTGGGTGGAAACATTTTGAAAGTGAAAATACTCCCACATATTTAGAATTTTGAAAACATGGACCTACCTGTTCTGAGAGGATCCAGAAAGAAGAAGAACTTTCTAACTGCTGTGCAGACATAGAAGGAGTAAAAAGATTTTTCTAAACCATCCAGTTGTGGCAAAGTAGGGATGAGTTCCAAAATATAGTTTTCTAAATCCTGCAGAATAAAGAAAGAGAAGGAAACAAGCTTTAAACACTACTACTGTTGCATGTTTGCTATATTCCACCCTGGCTTTCAAGTATATTTTGTTAAAAATACAATCCTGCAACAATGCAGGAAAGAGCATGAAAGCAGGCAAAAAAGCTTCTGCCTCCATGCAAGGAATCCTAGGTCATACACATGCACATGTGATGCCATGACTGAAACAGTCTACAAATAAAGCAGAATGTTAACAAAGTAGATGATATTTACATGTAAATATAAATACATTCAGCTGTACCTTTTTCAAATACCAATGCATAACTCCTAATTGGATTATCCTATTGTTGAATATTCTTTACTAGATCTTTTTTTAAAGTAGAGTGGTAACTAGAACCTTCTTATTTATTTTATATAAACTCCTGTTAGAACAGGAGAATAATTCATTGAGGCCCACTCTATCCATCCTTCTTTGTGATTTCTACTATATCCTACTAAATCTAGTAAAGCGCTAATGACATGAAACCTTGACATCTACGATCTCTTTTTCAGAGAATTACCCATATGTTAAAAAGGCTAGCAGCACTCTCGCCACCAAATCTCCAGAATACAGAGACTGCGATTTATCCAAACAAATGTGCCCACCCCAAATCTAGATTATGATACAAACTTTTAGGAGGTAAGACTGGAAGAAAATTGGAGCCTTTCTGATGCTCTGTTGTTTGAGTAAAGACAGACATTAAGTTAATCAAGAATCATTTACTTACTGATTCTCTGAGGTAGCCCTGTCCTGCCACATCATATAAACTGAGACCTATTCTTGTCTGATGAAGCCATACTGGAAAACAGAAAACAGAATTATAATGCAAGAAACCTAGGGGTTTTTTGACGCCTCACCAAAATTTGAAGTTATTCTAAAGGCCACAAGGCACTGTTGGATGTTAAGTGCCTCTCTCTTTTTCTCATTTTTCTGAGATTTAAGCAAAGCCATGATATGTACCAGCCCTGCTTAGAAACGTCGTTTCAGTCTCTAAGTTGGTAAGAGTTACTGGTGATATACGGTACGCTGTGGCCAAGACTGCCTTATAATAACTAGATGTGAGAAACAGCTGAGCAGACACCACATTTTATCTGGTACATGGAATCACATGGATTCATTCTCTCCTGCTGACCTAGAGGTATGTGTAGCAGCACATTTTCACTACATTAAAAGCAGCTGTACAACATTGTATACAGATTGCTTGTCAGATTGCTGCAGTCCCTTGTGCAGCACGAGACGCTGCAGCTACAGCCAAAGGTCCTGCCCTCACTTCTGAGTTACAAGAGAATTAGAATAGCACAAGAATCTATTTTTGCAATGAGAAGGCACATTAATCAGACAATCTACAGGACAATGTGCTTGAGGCCATTGTTAAAGCACAGTAACAGAGACAGAGTACAGATTAGGCATAAAAACTATTATTCACACACTCCATGTTAAATTTAGCTTTCATTTTATGAAGAAACAGTTTAAAAGTTCCTCTTATGAAATACGAGCTGTGCTTCATACCAACATTCATCTCTTCAAGGTAAGCGTTTGTCAAGGTGAACTAAGTATCACTCAGAGATGACAGAGGTTATACGGTGAGGCTGTTTCTTTGTTGGCTGAAGTTTAAAGGTAAGTGTATCATACACCCTGATGTGATTCAAGACACTTTTACTAGGCTTGACTTGTTTGGACAAAGCCAACAGACTCGACCACCTTTCCTCCTAAAGAGGGAGCATTACTGGAGACAGATGGTGCTTTGGGAAATGCTTCACCATTATTCAGTTATTAACTTCACCATTCACTCATCCCCTCCCAAAAGGACTGTGCAGATCATGAAGAAAGAGGAAGAAAGGCTGTAATCCACGGACTGTAAGAAATCCTCCAGCTGGAGGTAGGAAGGAGAAAGACAGAATGCTACGTGTTCAGCACAAGTATGCGAATACATACAGCTATTCCTAAAACTTTAACAAACAAAAGAAAACCCCAAAAGCTCATTAATGAGTTCACCTAGTTAGAAAATAGCATCACACACCCGAGACACAGCAGTTTAAGATGTTTTAAGCTCAGGGTGATATGGCCTCTTCCCTGCTGCAGCACCACTCTGGAGACTGACCGCTCCGCTGCATGAGCTTCATCAAAACAAGGTGAAATGTGGGACTGCACTGCCCCAACTTGGATCAGCTCAAGCAGCTGCAGAGTAACTCCATCATCTGTTACTTTCCCCTCCTTTCAGTGCCACACTGAAGGACATTCAGCAGTAAATACAGATGGAAATCACCAACTCCAATCTAAAGTATTAACTGAAAGTTCCTACCATAATTTAAGTCTTTTCTTCCTTTAATACCTGGCCTGGTCTTTAGCCCTCATATGCAACACTGTACAACAGACAATAGAAATGATCTCAGCTACTGCACAGGCATGCTACTGGGCTAACTTTATTAGGCAATTCCAATGCTGTAAGCTAGGAAAAACAAGGATCCTTATTCAACTGACCCAAGAGGGACTTGCAAACAAATACTGCAATGAGACCTTATGTTGGCCAGAGTCTGAAAATGAAATCTGATTGAGATGGGACACGCCAAAAGGCTTCCTGTCTCTAAATTTGGTGGGTTTTTTGTGTTGGTTTGTTTGTTTGGTTGGGGATTTGGGGGGTTTGGTTTTTTACGGTGTTTTTGGGTTTTTTGGGGGTTTGTTTTTGTTTTTTTGTTTGTTTGTTTGTTTTTTGTTTTTAAGAAAAGAGGTATCACCATAAATACACAAGACTTAAAACTTCTGGGTGAAACAAACGAAATAGAGCTCAAAAAGAATCTCTGTTGTGTCCAGCTGGGTAGGCCTTTTTGAAATGCATACTATTTTCACAGACTTCTTCACAAGTCTCCTATCCTGCAGCTTTTGGGTTTGCTGTTTGTTGCAAATGGGCCTGTTACCCCTTTCTTGCATACTCTGCATGTCTACTCACCAGGTTTCCTGCTCAACACATCTCTCATCCCTTGCACCACAAGATTTTAAGTTAAACAAGCTGAGCTGCTCTGGGGAAAGGTGCCATTCTCCCCTCCTGAGGACTCTACCAGACCAAAGAACACAGTAGCCAGGGGACAAGGCAATGAGGCAACCTTCCTTTCTGCTAGCCAGCCTCATCTTTTTAAACAAGATCTAATACAGATTTAAAAAAAAAAAATTTGCATTTTTCAGCCCAAGTGGTTACTTATAATAAAAAATAGCTGAAAATACGGTAAGGCTATAGCGACAAGCACAAGAACATATTGACGTATTTGACAAGCACAGTTAGAAAACATAGATAACACCACTCTGTAGAAGGAAAAACAGCAAACAAATCTATCTGCCAGACAGTCTGATCACAGTGGTTAGGATCACACCCACCACATAACTTTACTGTTTTGCTCTTCACCGTACTGTCTGAATAAAGGAAATCAGAATGACAATATATAACAAACTGATCAAGGGTATCTCTGGCTGAGAGGAGAGGTGGATTTCAGAGGTAGGGTGAACTCCCACCTCCTAGTAACCAGAAAAAAACCCCAAGCCTCCAGGAAAACAGCATTGGCAATCAAGGGCTAGATCTCACTGCTGTTGAAGAGAACAGCAAGTAATTAATAAAGCTTAAAATAGCCTTGAAAATAAAACAAATTCTCATTAACACAGAAGCATCAACTAACCTTTTCGCATGACATAATTGAAAAACTGCATGATAGATATCCTCCCATAAGGATCATTATGGAGTAATTTAGCGAAGATCTTAGCTGTGAAGAACTGCCTGTAAAACATAAACACAAAGCTACTTCTATGCATCCGATTACACTGCGCTGACAGATCCAGTTACAGTATCCAAAACTTAGAGACACTTTAAAATACTGTTTTAACAATATAGAATGTGTTCTGTGTATTCAAAGACGTTAATTTGCTACACTACACCCATCAAGTGGGATCCTACCAAGTAACAATGGTAAACTCAATAAAAAGCAGCTGCCTTTGCTGCTCATGAGACTCTTCAGTGATGTAGGCGCTTTGAGAGCTTTCATTCAATTTAGTTTCTCTTTAGTACAATATCTTTGGTAGCTTCCAATCTTCTACAACGATATGCACATAAATGGAACTGCCAGTACTGACAACTAATCTGCTTCTGCCCAAAACGCAATCACAAAGCTATGTGCACAGCAGTCTCTAACAGGAGTGTAAAGAAGGAATATTCGCTGTATGCTGTACACAGAACACCTGGTAGGAAATTTTCCATCAGAATATATTAGGGAAGGTTCGGCAGTATCACTGGAGACATGATTTCCTCTTCAAATACAAAATGTGCTGTTTACTGGCCACTAACATCATAAAAATGCTCATGCTGATAAGAATTTCTTCTTCAAAAAGATGCAGTAGACCTCTTGCAGACATCTCTATCAAAAGTTCTTTCAGAGATGTAGGGCAATACACCTTTGCAAGGATGCAAAGCAACTAGTTCATCAATAACTACACAGACATGATTTTATCTCACCATTAAACTGTTTCCATCTATTTTAGCAACTGAGTTAGAGTAGCACTTAGCTTTAGCCAAAGTAAGCATATACAAGAGAAGAAAGCCTTACTTGCACTTAGGTCCAGCTTTTTCACCAACTTTCAAGAAGTTCTCATAGTTGATCATTGCTTCTTCCCCAATCATCGGTGATGTCTGATGTTTGTCCAGTAGAAACCATAGATTCTTAAAAGGCATTTATATTTGGTTAAGAAGGTATCTCTCTAGAGATGTCAATGTGCTTAAGACAGAGCATCTAAAAAATGCAGCAAAAATGTGGTTTTGCTGCAAGGTTATCTCAGTTATGAGTATATGTCATCAGTTCAGCCAGAAAAACAAGCGATATTTCCACTGCTCTAAATTGGTGTTACACACACACAGACACACACTCTCTCTCTCACTCACTAGGATTTCTAGGGTCACATCCCTTTTGTCTTTGCACTGCAGTAAACTCAACCATCTTTGGAGTCTCTCTCAGTGATACATAAACAGAACTTATTTCTTCTTCTGGGCCCACTAGGGAAATTGTTGGAATGTGCTGGAAAACCAGAAACCATTGATTTAGTCCTCATACACATCATAACGAGGAAGCTTTACACTGACATTACCAGCCCACGACTATGCAGCACTTCAGCTTTAGTTAGTACTTCACAACCAGCCAACGTGCCCAAATACAAAGCACCTTACCACAAGAGTCTGTGGACGGACAGACAGGAGATAATCAAACTCAGCAGAAAGAGGAAGTCTTGTCAGAAGCCATTACAAAACATACAGAAAATATTTTCTTACCTGCAGCTCTTCGTTATCCAACAGCTCTCTACTTTTTCTTTGCAGAAAGACTGCTCTAGATTCTTCTCTTAATTTCTGAAGCAAGACTTCATCTTCAGCTGGCAGCTAGAAACATTGTGGCGTTTTAATTACCTATACAGTGGTACCATTCAAAAACTACACATCTAGCAAGTACTCTTAGGTAGTCCTGACTCACATGCTCTGATGAAGCCGTTTACTCAACAGAAAACAACGACCTATCTACCAGAATGCTGTATAGTACCCGCTTCTTCTACAGGGATATCACTTGCGTACTGTCTCAAACTATTTAAATATCAAAATATTTATTTAAAGCAGGACATCTTTAACATGAGAGACAGAGACCTACCTCATACCTGATAACCCATCCAGTAAGCACTTTCCCCACAGTTGCAAGATAGAAGGGCTCACACATAAAAGACATTTACTACTGTGTTTTTACTCAGGAGAGAGCAGCACTTTGTTTTGTGGTAGGCCTGACTCTCAGAAGTATGAATGTGTACTAGACTTGTTTTGGCCAACAAAACAGATGGAAGAACACTTAATATGAAAGTTCTGCCGATGTTTACAGGCAAAACTGTACAGCACTACCAGAACTTGGATGGTTGCATATGTATTCATCAACTGAAATATAGGTACTTGAGAACTTAATTGGCAGAAACTCATGATCCTAAGGAATATGGGACCATGTGAGGTTAGACAACAGCTCAGTGGTCAAGTAGACAAATGCCAGCAATATCAAGATGTCGAACTTGGGCTCCCATATTCCCCCATCCCAATCTGATTCACCTCACACGTAAGTTGCCAGACCAAGCATTTCTGCTGGATGATGCAAGTTACAGACCTATCTTTAGTCTGCAAGGCCAATGACCCACTGTTTTCATGAAGCAGCATCCCATCGTGTCTAAACGGAAACAGGAAGATGCGTATTTTTAACACTGGTATGTCAAAGTTTAGTTAAAACAGGAAGTTTCTCTGAAAGAGAAGGAGGACTTCCTATCTTTAGTAAACAGCCAAGCCTACTGTCTGATTAGCAAACTATTTCATGGCCTTTGATGAGATGCTTAGTAATTATTTGAAACTGCTGAAATCCACAATTGTACAAAACAAAAAGTTAAGCTTAGCAATCCACATCATTCAGATTTCAACCTACTTAAGCTTGTGAAGTTGAAGCGTCCCTTTGAATAAGCACAGCTTTCTTTATAACACAGAATAGCCTCCTGTTGAAGTTTATCTGGATACCCCACTTACCCTGTAGTAAAATCGTGGTATGTTCGTATATGATGTATTGCCACTTTTTCTTCCTCCTTTCCACTCCATGTAATATTTTGTGAACAATTCCATTTCTTCATCTTTTAGCTCTTGCTCGCTCTTTTTGGCTGATTAACACAGAAAAGAATTTTCGTGTTGTACTCCAAACAGAGTTTTAATGTAACAAGGAGCTTGAAAAAAGGAGTTAATGCTGAGGCTTATACAGCTATGCTGTTTAGTAACACAAATATTAGGTGGAAATGAATGGAGCACAGGCCTATTATGTAAATTATGTAACAGATACAACAAATATGTCACATATACATTCCATTCAAGTATCTACAAAGCACCCTCTTTCAGCGACTGCACATGCCCAATTCTCTGTAGGTATGCGATTCTAACAGAGATGGTTATGACTGACAAAGCAGCAGCAGCAGCATTCTTGTTCTACAGTGGTAGCACTGTTTAAGATACTGCGTACGGCAAGCAGCAGCATAAAAATCACCTGTCACTCTGTAACATCAGGGATACCATTATACGCCTGCACAAGCTCCCTGTGGGCTCACTAAGGAATAAAGAGTTACCAGCCAAAGCTGTCACAGGGGTACGCGCTGCTGACAAACCAGCCTCTACAGCGCCCACGCCCACACGGCTCCTCAGGGTCCCCCAGTCCCCCCGTCACTAACCCCTAAATAAGGGCGTTTGCTCCTCCGCAGAACCGAGCCCGAGACCTGCCTGGCCCCCACGGCAGCCTGCACGCGGGGAACTAAACCAACACCGGACACGCCGACGCTCGCCCCGCCAGGCCTGACCCCGCACCCCCTTGTCACTGCGGGCACCGGCGGCCGCGCCCACCCGCGGGGGCACCTCCCCTG